GTGTGTCTGTGTGTGTCTGTATGCATACACACACACAGAGACACAAGTGTTCACACATAAGAGTATATGTGTGTGAGCATGTCAGGAAAGTTTTTCTTAATGACTGAGTTTGAGATTACTGTGGTTGTTTTAAAGAGTATTATATCTAACATCCTAACAGCTGCCTGCTAGTATGATTTCCATTTTTATAGACAAATAATAGAGTCATGGAGAGTATATTATTTATTTAATACTATTACAAGCTCTAAGTCTTTACCTTCCATTTCTTCCCCTCTGCTAAAGAAGAAAATCAATATGTGTTATGGTACATGATCAACTATGAATATCATTCAGACAACATCTGAGGTACTTTTTAATGGGTGGTGGGAAGGAGAACATGAGAAAATTCCTGCTCAGTGTTCCCAGTGTAGGATGATTTTGTAGTCTGAAGATACAAAGGATTTTCAGACTTTTTTCTAAATTTCATTCCCATTCTGATACATAAAATCTCAACTGCTGTAAATCTGAATCTCTACAATGTCATGAATGTTTGGCAATCTTGCTGTCCGCAGAGAACCTTAAGTACCATTATGTGTGAGTGAGATAAACCTGGTAGCAATGACCTGTACTTCCAGCTACTAAGAAGCTGAGACAGAAGAATTACAAATCCAAAGACTGCCCAACTTACAGAGTAAATTCAGAGCAAGCTTGACCAGCTTTGTTAAATTCTAGTCACTAAGTAAAAAAGAGGACTTAAGATATTGGCTAGGTGATGAGTATTTATTAACTATGGATTATGTGAAATCCCCAGTGGTGAAAAGAATGTGTATATAGAGAAATGGGACCTGATTTCCAAAAGGGTATATGTTCTGTTACCCATTTGGAACCTACAGAATGAGTGCAGATCTTCATTTAGCAGGTCTTTTGGGTTGTTTGGTAGATGAATTTGCATAACTCTCTTGTTTATAACAATCAGAGTTTGCCTATAATATATAAGTCAGAACTTCTTAATATCAAATATAGACAAATTTATATTGTTGCTTTGTTTACAGTGTTCATTATTTGCTTGTTACTTTTAAGACAAAACCTGTACTTCTTAATACAATACACATTGTCCATTAAAACCAGACCACAGTTTGTTCATAACATGATAGATATAGCCAATCTTTTCCCATATGCAATTTAAACTATAGGCACATTGATTTCTACTTTCTCCATTCCTTTGTGCCCTTTCTACCAATTTCTTCCTGGTGAAATTCTTATCAGTATTTAAGATCTAGGTGAAATGCCAACTTTGAGGTAAAGTATTTCCTAACTTCACCATGTAGAAAGACTATTTTTCCCTTCTTCGTGATGCCTCTATTGTAGTTTTTACTATTCTGGAACTTTCTAGAATTGTTTGGAGTATTTATTTCTCTTCTACAATACTGTGGCTGGGCCTATGTTCTTTATGTCACCTAAAAAGCAAATAAGTGTGGAGAATAGACAAATAAAGAAATAAATCATGAATGTTTTTGTAAATGAATCAACTGAATGTCCCAGGTATAATTACTGAAGTCTGCACTCAGGCAGAGCTGATTTAAGGATATACTAGAGTGGTGTGGAACATGAACCAAAGGAGAAAACAACATTGGGGTTTAGCATGGATGGAGGATAACTCATTCATTCAACCAGTGTTGAATAAGCACTTGTCCTTAGAAAACTTAGACTCTATGACCAGAGAGAAGGATCAAATTTCTTTTACCTCAGTCACTTTTCCTAACAGGGCAACTATAGTGTGTATTTTTTCGTCACTGATAATAAATTCAAATTTCTTTTACTTCTCAATAGCTCGAAAGCTGAAAAAACTTGGAAATCTAAAACTACAGGAGGAAGGAGAAAATTCCAGCGCTGGAAGCCCCACTGAGGACCCATCCCAGAAGATGACAGTATCACACATTGAAGGCTATGAATGTCAGCCTATCTTTCTTAATGTCTTGGAAGCCATTGAGCCAGGAGTGGTGTGTGCTGGACATGACAACAACCAGCCTGATTCCTTTGCTGCCTTGTTATCTAGCCTCAATGAGCTTGGCGAGAGACAGCTTGTACATGTGGTCAAGTGGGCCAAGGCCTTGCCTGGTAAGGAAAAGGAAAATTAGTAAGAGTGATAAAGGATATCATATTTATCGAATGGTTCTTTGGACCAGGTACTCGTTAACTCAAGCAGTACTCAATACCACACTGTAGATAAATGATTGTCATAGAAAAAGTCTCACTTTAAACATTGAGGAAATTGGAACTCAGAAAGCAAGAGGAAAGACAGCATGCCAGTATCACATATGTCTTCACTGATGCACAGTAATCATACTTTGTCATGTAACTCCAAGTCACATATAGCTATAGCTATATGAACCTCAAGATGTTCTTCTATGTGTAAACATGTAAGCTCATTCCAGAGGCAGTATTGAGTCTGAGCTATCCCACAGGAATTTTTACACGAGATGTTAGAAAGAAAATTGGAAGCCAGAATACTTGGGTTCTTGTCTTAGCTCTGTTCAAAACCCATTTGTGATCCTTTATGCTTCTGGGTCTGTTTGTATTTGTGCATATCAAGAGCATTTGGGACTAACATGATAACTTTTAAACTTCACATAAAGGAACCATTAGTAATTTTTACAGTACTTTAGAAATCCTAGTGGGAAGAAAGGTTAGGTCATGCTGAAAGAACTACCAAGTGATATTCTTACTTCTCTAACATACCTCCAGTAACAAATGGGAACTAACGTCCTTACTAGGCCATTTATTATTTAAACAAGCCTTATTATTTAACTATAATAGATTTGGGAAGCTTTAGATAGCTTCTATCTATGGAGTCACAAACATTCCTTTAGCAGACAAATTGCTTACTTCTTAAAAAGCATTGTACACAGATATAAGTGACCCATTCCATAGATTTAAAGGCAGATTCTCTGTCTAATCCTTACCACCTCACCATCTCATCTCCCTCAGCACTACCCCCAACTACACCATAAGCTGCTAGTCACCGGCACACAATCTTGTGGCTGTTGGGAATTCATTTTGACAGGCAATGAAGCATATGCTCTTTAAAGATCCTACCAATTCCAAGATTATGTGATTCAAAGATTCTTTCAAAATTTCAACAAGTCTCTTCTTGTGAAGTCAAAGATTAACCCACCTTTTAACAAAAACGGATATTCATTATAGTGGAAACAAAGCAGCTTTCTGATTGGTTTACCATAAGAATTCCCTGTGAAGTAGGTGCCCATTCCTCTGTTTTACATAGAATGTGATTATCTTATATAGTTAAAGACAAAAGTGCACATGTACATACATAAAGTAAAATAAATACAGTTGCATCCCAGATCCTCCTAATTCCAAACTACCTCCAAGCTACGAACTCTTGGTGTTGTGTGTAAGGGCACTCTGTTTCTTGGCTTTACAATGAGGGGTCAAAACCTCATGTAATGGGCTTTCTACCTTTGTAAAATTTGCATTTTGATTGCAAAGAACTCATTTTGTATTTCTAACTCACAAGGCCCCTGTCCCAGCTTCTAGAACTTCCCTACTACTTTCTCACATCAGAAAACAGAGTTTAAGTAGCCAATAAGATTACTGGGCAGGAAGCCCAAGGACTGTGGCTGGATATGCACTGTGCCAAAATTGAGAATTCACATGGGGAGCGAGAATACAAACAAGAAAAAAAAGACATTATTATCATTTATCCAGCTGGATGTCTTGATGCCATTTTAATGGTGATTCTCAATTTCCAAATATTTAACATGTCTCATTTTATAGGATTCACAACCTTTCTATATATATGAGTCGCAAAAAATGATCCTGTTATTTCTCTTCCACATACCACAGCTCCTGCATGTTAACAATGGAACCAGAGCTTCAGCTCAGATACTTTCATTTTTAATGTGGTGTCCTTAGAACTAACCTAGTGCAAATGACCATGGCATAATTTCCTTTACCTAGAAATACTGGATCAACCCTCAGCATGAGAAGCCTTCTCCTTGCATTAACAAATCTTTGAGCCAAAATCAATTTAGCGTATGTCTTTCCGGAAAAAAATGACCTCTGACACCGAATCATTTAGAAGAATACCTCCTAAAGGAAGCTGATTACTGCATTCATAAGAATGACTATTAAAATTATCCATAATCACCTACTAGTTCAAGTAATTTGAACATTCAACATTTGAGTTTCTGTCCTATACAAGAACCTAGTCAGATGAATTTTGTTGTACATTTTCTGTGATGATGATAATATCTGAGAATTTTCTCATAAGGTGCCTGGCACACTAATAATTATAATTAAAATTGGAGACACTTGAATCAATACACAGCATATTTAGAATCAGATAGATTTGGATTGGAATCCTAGCCATGGGTTGATATATAACCTTGAGTAAATCATGGGTCTTTGTGCATCTCTTTCCTCATCTCTAGAGATGATAGAACACTTGGAGAACTGTCATCAGCATAGAGTTTATGTATAAAGAATACTTACCACAGTAGCTGCTCTCTAGATGGTAGCTTAGAATTGTGATGATTGAGTCCTAAAGCTACAGTTTGCATTAAGCTCAATATAAATTGCCACCAGCCTTCCTTAGATATTGACCTCAGGTTTGAACTGTTTTGAAGATATTGGCTGGCCAATGCACTAAAGCAACAGAAATTTACAGGCCCTGTTTTTCATGCATTGTCCCCGACTAGACACGAGAACATATACTTCAGTAGTGTTGATTGTTGCTAGTAATAATGTTGATTCAATTCTAATGAGAAAACAAGGAAACATCATCTATTCCATGTTGGTTGTGTCTCAAAACCTGAGCATAATTCCTCTTAATTTCACCAGAACAACCTAAAAGAGCCTGAGACTACAGTTTCCCCTGTCTTTCCTTATTATCCATGCCGTTGGAACAGGCTACTTCAAAAGCTATGCATTAAAAGAACAGTCAGGTGTTACAAACAGAATGCAACTATAATGGGAAACTTGTATTCTACTTTGTCACGTGTACAAAGGTACTGTGTCTGAGTGCTAAGCAGCTCTGAATACTGTCAATTAGTATTACAGACTAACAGAAATGTTCCCCTTTCACCTTTTTGTCAGTTCTCTGGTTTTGGAGAATCGGATGGGGGAGCATCTGTGTAGTTTCTTTGATAGCTACACAGTTTAATACTTCCCCCTACACATACCTCCAGAGTCACACATTCCACAAGAAGATCAAAGCATACTAACCAGGTTTTTTTTTTCCTGTCTACTTCATCACACCACAGATTTTCGGTGTTCAAACTCCCAGGACTCTTTCACCAGGTGAATCTTAACAGTTGCCTCATTAAACCTGGCATCTTGTCTTCTATGGGAAAGGATCAGAGCCAGGGATTCTATAATACAGAAGGGTTCCGGGAGAGAAATGCTCTCTAGTTTGAGGCTCCAGCCAGTCTGTTCACTTGTCAATACAATGAAGAGAGACACACTGGCCTGGGAGCTAAAATTATAGCCAAGGGTGGTGGTATGAGGAATTCTAGAATAGCATATGACTGGGAGACTTGAGATCTAAACAAAAATGAAAATGGAAGGGGTAAAGTGGGTGGGTGTGTGGGCAGAGAGCATTCTGTTCATGAAGACCTCACACCTGAGCCCATAGCAAAGAAAGGCAGATGACCTGAATAACCTCTGAACTGTGACCACCTGCAGATGTTTAAAAGAAGGAGTAGAACAGAGAACTAAAATTCCAGGATTCCAGTTCTAGTTCAGCCAGACTAACTGTACAACCTTGGGTAAATCATATAACTGCCCTAATTTTTAGGTTTCATGTTGATACTATAAGTGTCACATTGCCTGTCTTCTGAATTTGTAGGAGAAAAATAAAGGTGGTACTGGTAGGGATGATCTGTGGGGTAATACTTTTAAACTTTTAAACATGCAAAGAATTGGAAAGTTCCAGAAAACTTGGCCTGTGTTGTTAGAGATATAACATTTAGGATGCTGCTTTCTGCACTTAAGGGAAGCCATTTGGAGGGAATCACATTCCCATTCTATAAAAATTGAATGAAAAATACTGAGAATCCATACTTATGTGTCTGATTAATGTTTTTCAAGTGTCCAGTCGAATACCTAGGCTATGCTCTGTACTAACAATGAATGGGAAGATAAGCTTGAAGTCTTGTAGAGGGTACAGATGTGTCCATTGCTAAATCACGATATTGGAAACTGAGCTCTTTATTTGGCTGAAGCTGCTCCAGGTTCCTTGAAAAGGTAAAGGGATAATCGTTGGTCTAGGCTCTTGGATAAGTTGGAAAATGCTGCACAGAGGAGGTAGTTTTGGAAAAAATTCTTGGAAAACACTCACATGAGTGTTACATCATAGGCAAAGGCATTTGCCTTGGCAGAGGCCTGGAAAAGCACGAGGCATTGAACAAACTGTAAGTTTTAAAAAGAGGTGGAACCTAAATTATCAGAAGGCAAGTGACAAGAAATGAGTCTACTGGTATAGGTCATACAGAGCCTCTTTCTGTATAACAGCAGCAGCTTAGGTGTGAGGTGGATATAAAACTAGAGGGTTAAAGTTAAGTAGGAAATAAAAAGAAAAGGGAAGAGATTTGTGGAAGAAAAGGGCCTAAAGGGGGTGTGGAGAAAACAATGTGTGTTAAACACCCCCCATCATTTGCAGATATGTGAGAGTATCCCCCTCTGCCCCGTTGTGGCATAGCTGACATCAGAATACAACTAGAAGACAGCTTTGTAAAGTGAGAAGAACTGTCCACGTAGAACTGGCAATTCAACTGAATCTTGCCAATGGTAAAATGATCAAGGATGTGGACTTGGGAAGTCAGTCTGCTAGATACACCCATATGACCTTGAACACATTTATGAGCTTCTCTGTAACTCATTTTTACTGATGCACAGAATGGGGATAATATAAGTACCGATATCACACACACACACACACACACACACACACACCCACACACACACACACACACTATATATAGTATTATTCCATGTGAATATGAAACTAGTAATAGAAGTAAAGGATTCAGAAAAGAGTCAACTCACTATAGTGTGAGATTATGACTTTTTCCCAAATAGCAATACCTTTTCTGATGCTACCGTGATCTCATTGGAAGAGCTTAGTGAAGGAGAATAGATCCTCACTATGTAGATTTTCTTCTTCACCACCCTTCCCTCAAGAGCCATCAGTAATGTTCTTTAGGGCTCCTCTGTGGCTATGTGGGAGCCAAATTCTCAGCAAAGCAGAGGCGCAGACATAACTCAGTCCACCAATGGCAATCTGACTTTGCCTCTGTCCCATCTTCTCCAGGATTCCGCAACTTACATGTGGATGACCAGATGGCAGTCATTCAGTATTCCTGGATGGGACTCATGGTATTTGCCATGGGTTGGCGGTCCTTTACTAACGTCAACTCCAGGATGCTCTACTTTGCACCTGACCTGGTTTTCAATGAGTAAGTACTCCCATGACCAGTCTTGTATCCCTCTGCTACCACTGAGGACTTCTGACAGTCACTATTTGTTGAGCAATTACTTTCATGCCATGATTATGCTCAGTACTTCCTAAAACCAAGCTCAATTGGTTCTCATGATAATCAGCTATCTTTCCATATATCGTCATGTCTTTTGGGATGTGGGAGGTTATTTGTATCAAAATAAAATGGCTCTGCCATTTCTTTTTTCTTAAATAGACTGAATTCATATCTGTCTTCTTACCAGCTATATTTATATTTCATGAATTTGACCAAGTGCTTAGATTTTGGAATCATATTCTCTCCTAAAGTCTATTATCCATCTTTGGACAAGACCCCTTAGCCATTTGAAATGAGAATTGATGAGTGTGGTCTTCCTGGCCCATGGTTTAAAAAAAAAGACTTTAGAAAATCTTTTAGGCCAGGGATGGTGACTCAAAGAACCCTAGTATTCAAAGCACTGAGATGGGAGGATCAGAAGTTCAAGATTAAGTTTACTTGTGTTGGACATTCAAAGCCAGCCACCAGCCTACAGGCTGGAAAGTAACATCTTCTCTCACTGGGCAAGAAAGAAAGGAAAGATAAAGGAAAAAAGTATGGAAAGAGCATAGAAAAAGAAAGGGAAGGGGAACAGGACGAAAGGGAAGGGAAACAGCTAGGGATCCCGTTCTCATGCCCTTTTCCCTTTCCCTGATTGTGATAGTGTCCTCTACATACACTATCTGAGGTTTTGAAGGGGCACTATGAATGGAGCTGACCAGAATAACTTTCCCAAGAACCTTAAGCTAGTTCCATTACAGAGAATCCCTTCAGTCAGGGAAGGAATTAACCTTCCTCCTCCCCCAGGCCTTTAAATAAAATCCACAGGCTTGTGGTTCCTTAAAACACAGCAGAGCCATGAAAGGCAGAGTAAGTGTCCCCAGATGCTCTCTTTCAACCTAGCCAGCCCTGATAGTCAGAAGCTAAGAATAGCCACCAGGACTTTGGTTTGCAGACCTTCTAAGAGTTACCTTTGATGCCATCTTCCGGGGCAGACATTGTAAAGCCCCACAACTGCTGCTGCTCCTGATTGGATCAACTCCCCAAGCACTAGCTCCACCTTCCGAAGAACTCTGAGACATTTGGGGTCTACACAGTAATCAATTTCTGAATAGCCATTTCCTTCTTTCTCAACTATGCCTGTGGAAACCCACCTCAGTTTTGTAGTAGGTCTCATTCATCTCACGAGAAGGTGCCACAGAACTTCTGAAGGTATCAGACTTAGTTCTATCAAGCCACAAAAGTCCTGAAACATGGTTCCTTTCCATTTGTACCAATTGAATTAAAGCCATCAGAGTCCTTACAAATATCTAAACCAGTGCTTCTCAACATAGATACTGTTGACATTTTGGGATATCTTCATGTGCAAGATGTTATGCAGTTTTGTATAGTGCATTATGTTTAGTAGCCCTGGTACCTGCTTGATAAATAAGATTTCAGTCATTTTGAGACCCGATCTGACTCCATACATTTCTACTGTCCACTGGGAATGCAGTATTCCCCAGGAGAAAACTATAATTGTTGTCAATTGAGGTTCAGGGACATAGAGATGGGAACTTGAAGCTGGGAAACCCATATGCTGCTCTATGGAATGCCAAAACCCTATTCTCAGTAAAGTTTTCTTCGTTCTTCCCATCTTTGTGGAATTCCAATGTTGTAAAGGAAGTGGGCTTAAATGCTAGCTCTGTAACCATGGGAGAATTGCTGAAGTTCTCTGAATCATCCATCTCTCATCATAGAATGATGAATAACGTAACAATACCTTCCTTGCACATCATTAACTAAGTGCTTACCATGTGCCAGGCACCATGTTTAGTGTTTTCCAATCTTCACTTTTCCCTTTTATCAATGCCTACTTCTGTTCTCTTTTTTAATTCCATTCCTAACCCTTATTTTTACCCCCTACTGCCATTTCCTTTTCCTTCCTTTAATTCTCTACCAACTCTTTCTTCTTGCTTCCCGTTTATTTCCTCTTTGAATTCCTTTCATTGTTTCTTCCTCTTATCTCCTATCCATCCCCTGTCTTTTCTGTCTCAGGGGCCTCCAGCAATATTCTAGGAATCTTTTATGCCAGGACCATGATTTCAAGCACTGCAGTGTTGACATCAACAGAGGCGTGCAAATACAATGGAGACAGGCATACAGCCAGGTTCCAGGGAAAGCAGAACTTACTCAAATGTCCTCTAGGGTAAAAGAGCTTAGAGCAGCACTGTTCTGCTCAATTGACTTGTGATACCATCTAAACACTTCCCTTGTCCAGTTGGAGTTCAGCCTGGATTGAATAATTCACCACCTGCTACCTTCTCTCCTTCTCCAGGGCAGCCAAGGTCTCTATGAGATAGGTTGCAGAGCTTCTGCCCAGGCAATGATAAGCCTGCTTGCTCAGCCTGTGCACCAGGCTAGTGGCTTGGGAATTACAGTATCAAAATATGGCCTTTATAGTCTATCTGGGAGGTCTTTGTCTTCATCACTTAGGCACTTAGGCCAGTGTCAAATTCTCCTTCTTTTCTTTCTTCACATGCTACAAAGAGAATTGTCCTCTCTCCCTGTCTCTCTTTCTCAACACACACATACACAGCACACACACACACACACACACACACCCACACACACACACAAAGAGAATTGTCCTCTCTCCCTGTCTCTCTTTCTCAACACACACATACACAGCACACACACACACACACACACACACACACACACACACACACACACACTTCTCAACTTAAAGTCCTCCTAGTTGGAGGTCCTGTGTCTTTTCTTAGAGACTTGCCATAGCCAGACATGGAACAGAGAGGTTACCTCCACCCTGAAGCTGTCCAAGCCTTGGCCACTTACCCATATAATTCATAGGTGATAATGTGATAATCTGTTCACAACTCACTATAAGAAAGCAGCACACAGATGTTTACAACTCCCAAACTGTGGTAAGGAACAGCCAGCCTTTGAGGGAGTGGGCTCCCCTCTGCAGAGGACATTGAGAATAGACATTGCAAAACACCCCCTCCCAGCACATTTAGAAGCACTGGAACTCATTGTGAAAGGACAATGTGCAATTTCTATCTATTGCTAGGTGTTTTTAAAGAAATTATTGCATTTCTATTACAGGAAATGGCAGGCAGGAGTGTTGACAAGATAAACACACGTGGCTACTTGCAAACCCTGACATTCTTACATTAACAGCAGATTGCCTGGTAGTCTCTCTGATAAATCCTAAAATGGGCTTTCTAGATGGCAGATCCTGGCTCTGGCTGTAGCTGAGATCCTAACACTGTAGTCAAGGAGACCATGTCTCTGCCCCATTGTGTTCATTTGGTTATGCTTTCCTGTCCCTGACTCAGGCAACAGAAAGGAAATGCAGACCTGGAAATTCCATGTGCTAAACCATATCCTGACCGGAGAAGATGAGTCCTTATCTGGATATCAGAAGTTTGGGGGACAGGGAGAACAGTATAGTTCCTTGTCGCTCAAGTCCTAGCAGCCAGCTTTTCTTGGAGAATCACAGGAGGGAGGGGCTCCAAGAAACATTTCCTGTATGCTGGCTGGAAGCCTTCCTTCATTTCTCCTTTTCACGTGTGTGTCTCTTGCTTAGATACCGCATGCACAAGTCTCGGATGTACAGCCAGTGCGTGCGGATGAGGCACCTGTCTCAAGAATTCGGATGGCTCCAGATAACCCCCCAGGAATTTCTGTGCATGAAAGCACTGCTACTCTTCAGCATTAGTAAGTACCTGGGCCTGCAGAGGAAGCCACTGGGAGCACAGAGATTCCAGGGGGCCTACATTTTCCACGAAACTGTTATTAGGGAGTATGCAGTTCCTGGACATCCCCCTTCTTCTCTCTCCCTCCCTCAACCCTCCATGTCCTCTCAGCATTCTTTCTCCTTACAAAGACCAATTTTATGTGTAGAGATAAGTTATGTGGGTATAATTCAGCCTCTACCAGATTCTGTACTCTTATTCCCTCACTGAGAGAAGGCCTTTAAAGAAGTAACTGGCCTCTGAAATACCCTGTAGTCTCTGCTGTAGTAACTGGCATGAGCCACCTTGCATTCCTAGCAGAGGACTACAGCAGGAGGGACAACCTCCTAGAGGACATTTCCTCTTCTAGCAACCAATGGAGGCTGATGGAAGCAACTGAGATAGGGCTTACTTGGCAGCCAAGGAAGCTTTCTTTAATGTCTCCTCTAAGCAAAGTGTGATGGAGGAGAATGGAGGTATTTGGTATTTGATAAGCCCAGTTTTCTGTATGTCTAAATCACAGTTGGATGGAGAACAAAGAAAGTTTGGGACCTGAGAAATGGGTACATGAAAAACCTAGTCCAAAAAAAGTTCAGTCTATTTTATCTAACTCCTCTCCATGTTAAGTACAGAAAATCCTTTACTCTGAAGGCCCCAGGCACTTAGACTTCGATTGACAGAAAGCCAAATAGACAGTTCCCTCTGTGTGGGGGTGGGGGGGTCAAGTTTGTGGTCAGAAAACTTGGTGCTTTGTCTAATGCTCCTTCGTGGGCATGCTTCCCCTCCCCATTCTGTCTTCATCCCACATCAGTTCCAGTGGATGGGCTGAAAAATCAAAAATTCTTTGATGAACTTCGAATGAACTACATCAAGGAACTCGATCGTATCATTGCATGCAAAAGAAAAAATCCCACATCCTGCTCAAGGCGCTTCTACCAGCTCACCAAGCTCCTGGATTCTGTGCAGCCTGTAAGCAAACTACAGAGGGTGCTTTATCAGAGAGAGCAGCCTGATAGAGCCCAGTGATAATAGGCTCCTCTAGGGTCTGGCACCACCTGTTGGGAGGTGCTTCCATTTGCCTCTGGCTCTGAGTATGGTCCAAGAAGAGAATGCAATGGAGAAGAAAGGAACACAGGTCACAGTGTCCCAGCTGGATGTTGTGAAAGGGGTGGAGGAGTTGAGTACAGAGAAGCTGGGACTCAGGGAAGAAGCGTAAGGCAGATGAATTTCCCAGGCAGACAAAACAGGCCTAGATAATTTTCTTTCCTCTTTTCCTTGATTCATGTACATGTGAGTGAGTGAGTGTGTGTGTGTGTGTGTGTGTGTGTGTGTGTGTGTGTGTGTGTGTGTGTGTGTTTGTATGTGTGAGAGGGAGAGACACACACACAGAGAGAGAGACAGAGACAGTGACAGAGACAGAGACAGAAACAGAGAGACAGAGAGAGAGAAGAGAGCTCAATGGAAGAAAGGAAAAAAAGGAACACTCAGACACTCAGTCCTAAGTCAGAGAACTTGAAATGGAATAAATAATCTCTAGAGACCCTCAGTGACTCCTTGGAGATCATTTTTCTAATACACAGATAGGTAGATACACACATATGTGTGGGCACACACACACACACACACACACACACACACACACACACACTCACACTCACACTCACACTTACAAACACATCAGGCAGGAATCAAGGCTAGGCCTTGGGACAAAATGCTAAACGTACTGGAATTCAGAGGTGGGAGGAGAGCTGGGCAGGAGCCAAGTTTTTATTAACCATGTTTGTTCTGTCTCTTACTCTCCCTACAGATTGCAAGAGAGCTGCATCAGTTCACTTTTGACCTACTAATCAAGTCCCATATGGTGAGCGTGGACTTTCCTGAAATGATGGCAGAGATCATCTCTGTGCAAGTGCCCAAGATCCTTTCTGGGAAAGTCAAGCCCATCTACTTCCACACACAGTGAAGACGTGGAAACCTTCATACCCAAACCCACCTTGTTCCCTTTTTCAGATGTCTTCTGCCTGTTATATATTCTGCACTACTTCTCTGCAGTGCCTTGGGGGAAATTCCTCTACTGATATACAGTCTGTCGTGAACATGTTCCTCGGTTCTATTTCCTGGGCTTTTCCTTCTTTCTTTTTCTTCTTCTCTCCCTCTTTCTCCCTCCCATGGCACATTTTGAATCTGCTGTCTGTTGTGGCTCCTGCCTGTGTTTTGAGATGTATTGTATTTCTTTGAATCTGTGGTGATCCTCGTGTGGCCCAGTGTCAATTGTGCTTGTTTACAGCACTGTGCTGTGTGCCAACCACTCAAATGTTTACTCACCTTATGCCATGTCAAGTTTAGAGAGCTATAAGTATCTGGGGAAGAAACAAACATAGAAAATAAAAAGCCAAAAAACATGCTAGGTTTGTTTCTTCACTATAATAAAGAAACACATAGGATTCCCAAAGAAGCCAACAGTGACAAGAAAGTAAAAATCACAGGTACATGAAGAGTCACTGTTTTGTTCATCCTGTCTCTCTGTGGGAAACTTCAGTTGTTGCTAATGGCTATTGCTATTAAAGAGCAGGATGACCCCAAAGCTTACTGGTAGGATAGAGAGAAAAGAAGGACAAGGAGGGCGGGTGGATAACTATTACTTCCCCACAGCCTTTGTCACTGAGCCTTAAAGTGCTCAGCTGCAGTGCAATTCATTGTACTGAAATGTGCTTGTTGTTTGAAAACTTGTCTGCATGTGAATGCCTCCTCCTTCAAATCCTTTTCTCTCTCAACCTCTGCTTCCACCCTCAACTGACTTTCAATAGGTTTTCTAAGAGCTTTGAACTAAATGTTCTCTTTAGCCAAAACTTTGGCCACTTCCACTGAAGTTAGGTCCATGAGAAGAGAGCAGAGAGATCTGACTCTTTGGAAGGCTCCATTCAGATCTATGTGCATATTTCTATGTGTGAGCCATAGAGGAGCTTTGTGGCTGGAGTCAAAGGAAAAGGAAGTGATTACTTAGCCAGTCTCCCTTTAAGGACAGTGAATAGTTGATCCCTCAGTGCAATCACCTTTTCCTCTACTTTGAAAGGACCGGTAGACTCCTTGCAGCCACATTTTCACTCCACAGTTCTTCAGTGTTTGGACCTGAACTTCACTATATTGCATTTAAGCCATGGTGGTAAAACTTGTTCACTTCTTTGGGCATATTTGTAGACACTGCTAAGATCTCCCTCCTACCACCACCATGAAGGCTAGCAGACCAGCAGCCACAGCATCTATGTTTAGATGTCAACAGTCTTAAAGACATCTCACTCAATGTCTTTCATCGACATTCAGATTTCTGGAGCCCTTAGACAAATTGGAAAGAGATCATCAAAGGGACCAGGCAAACTGGGCATCTTTCCCTTGTCCTCCAGAGACAATATACTCCTATCAAGTGGAGAAATGTCAATTTCCTCCTCAGAGTGACTAAAGGGGCTACCCAGACCATGGTGGAGGAGAAAACTTAGTAACCAGGCTGATAAAAATGAAGACACTAGAAAGCATAGAATGTTCTCCTTTCCATCCAGCATACTCACTGGCAGAAATCATGGGAAGAAGAGAGAAGGCCAAAAGAGAATACAGACTGCCAAGGTCTTCAGAGACAAAGTCTAAAGCCAAATGAATACCATCTGTCTAGATGGGCACCAATTTGCTCATCCTCCTCTATTGCAGTTGTTGGACTGAACTTGGCCAAAGTCATTCAGATTCCCCACCAGAGAGGTTGCCTCTCAATCAGAGGGTGCAGGACTACTGAGACATTCTATAGAACTGTGACTCCATTGGACAGATCTGGCTGGTGTGGCTACAACTAGACTGCACCCATAAACTCAAGGCATGTCCTGGGTCACTGGGTCATTGGCACCCTTCTTTTCTGTGGACACTGTTCCTCAACCTTGAGTGCAGGAGGAATTCCCACCTACTCTTGCATTTGTAGAAGTCCTCATCACTCAGCTCTTCACTTTACTGCTGATCTAAAGAATTCAAGGGCCAGCCCCCAAGCTGCCCATTTTAGTTGGTATACTATGTTGATTGAGAAGACAGTTTCTGAGTGACATGATTTGATACACATGAGTTTCCTTCCCTGATTTTTGTGTTGATATTAATAGCATAACAAACTTGCAAAACAACTTCTTTAACTAACAAGGAAGGAAGAATGTAAGATGGGTGATACGACAATCCAACCCTGCTAGACAAAAACTGAAGCTGACAGGTTCCCTTTTTGAGCTAGGATAGAGAGATTCTGATTTGATTTGTGATGACACCATCTGGCTATGTACAGGATCTCTTTAAGCTGTATCTTAAATAGAAGAAAATCACCACTCTTTTCAGTTAAACTAGGTTACATTTTAATAGTTCCTTTACATCTATTTTGATGCAATTTCCATCTTCTGTGGTACATGGATTTTATTATAACATTCTAATATTTGTCTTTGTAAATACTAGAAGCTCTTTGTTCCATTTATCTATGGAGTTTTTCATCTTATGGAGTTCCAGATCATGACTCTTGTCTTTATGAATGTACATGTTTTTGTTTTTGTTTTATTTGCAAAAGCCAAAAATCAGTGAAACAGCAGTGCAATAAAAGCAACACCAACTAGATAATTCCAAATTTCCAAGTGACAAAACTAGAGAAAACAGCCTACACAAGGCCTTATGCCTACTGTTTCTGCATTGGGATTTGAATGAACAATGAAAGCCTTGGCTTGGCTGTGTTCTCCCACACAGGCAAAGAAGTGATTGGTTTTTGCTTTTTCTTCTTTTTTGGATTTTCTGTTTCATTTCTTTTTGTTTTCTTTGGCCATCAATGTTCCAGCTAGTTTGGCTGGCAGAAGTCTCATCTTGCAAACACTTTACTCAGCAGAGTGAGTGTTGCTGGTTCACTGTGCTCATCTATGAATGACTGGCCATTGCTCCACTCATCTGGTAAGATGGAAGATGAGGATCACTCACTGGACAAGTCAAGGTGATCATCTCCAAAGAGGTTTACAGTGCTTGATGGGAATGGAATGTGAGGACGAGAAAAAGAGGAGCACCATGGAGAAGGCCCATCAGGGCTGGGCAGCAGACAGCTGCCAATGTCACGAACTCTGTGGTCAAAGAAGAGTCGTGTACCATGCTTTCAACTCTCATTCACAGGGCAGCTCACTGTGTGTGGACTCTGAGCTGACACGGGAGTTGGCTTCTTTGTTCCATAGATTTTCTATGCCACAGGCAATATTATTGTTCTTGGAAAGTTCATTATTTTTTTAAATTACCTTACTCTGAGAAAGGGATTTTTTTTTGAAGGATTCTGTCATATATCTTTGAAAAACAGAAAATCAGTAATATGTATATTTTTATGTATGTTCACTGGCACTAAAAAATAAGAAAAAAAAAGGAAAAAAAAGAGCTTCACTCTGTCCATTGGATAGTTACTAAGGTTAATTGTCCAGGTTGAGAAATGTGCTGATGCTAACATCCTTCTCTGTCCACATTCTGTTTCTAAATACATATAGGTATATATAACAAGATATATTCAACACACTTTAAGAAAAATTATGTCCACCATCCACATGATAACCTGATACTACACAAATTACCCGACTTTAAGCTTCAAGTGGCTTCTAACTTTTCATTTCATTCAGTACAGACGTGGCCTTGCCCCTTTCTTTCCCTTAAATTTGGCAGGGCACAAAGACCCAAGCCACCCCTTATATCTTCCCAGGACCTATGCCAGAATCACACTTAAGAAACTTTTCTAAAGACAACTGATTTACTCTCCTTGCATGACCCTAGAGCATGACCCTGCTCAAACAAGAGGCTGACTATAATTCTCCTATATTAGTTGCCTGGGTAAGAGGTCATTGGGCCAAAGGCCTGGTTCTCATGCTTGAGAACCATGAATGCCAACCTTCCAGATCAAATCCCAAACTGAAAGTCCAAAGAAGCCATTTAGCATGTGAAATTTCTTGGACTAAGAAGTTTCTTTCCTGGCTGCCTTTACAGACAGGTTTGTTCTCACCACTTATCTCTTTGAGAATCTTTGAAAGTATTTTTTTAAGTAGAAAAGGAGATGAAAGCATTACATTATGTAACCAAAGATTGTATTGTATCTGCTAAGATACCAAAATTTTTAAGGGCAGGGAAGGAGCAAGCATTAGTGCCTCTTTGGTAAACTATCCAAAGACAGACTGAAGGACTTTTCTGATGACTTACTTAGAAGACTTTGTGGGGAAGGGTTATCTCACAATATACATATTTAGAAGTGTTGAGGATAATTTGGAAAAAAATGGGATTATAGTGTCCTTCACTAACTGATTTTATAAGCAGAATTAGCTTTCCTTTTTTCTAGTAGTTGCAGAGCAAATTCTTGAAGCTCCATCTTTGCATGGTTGGAAATGGAGCTGGTCTTGGCCACTGTGTTTGCTAGTGCCCATGTTAGCTTATTTGAAGATGTGAAGCCCTTGACGAGAAAGGGGTGCGTTTAAAAGATTAGATTTTGCACTAGAAGGAGGGTAGGCAGAAACCCTCATTTCTGCCCAGTTTGAACAGCACAAAAAGTTCTCTGCAGTTTAAGGCAGAAAGTTGAAATATATTGTAAATGAGTATTTGTATCCATGTTTCAAAATTGAATTATATATATAGATGTAATGTGTTCTGATAGCTTTACCTTTCTCTGCACCTTTATATTTGGTTCCAGGTCATATCTGATGCCATGTACTTGTAAGAGAGGTTGCAGTTACATTTTGGATGCTCTCTCAGAATGGATAAGACACCTGGATTGATCAGATAATTGATATATCTTCCCATATTGGGCCTGGTGTTCAGGCCTTGCAAAGGGGTGGAGGAGGAAAGGGTAGGGTACATGATGTATTGCACTTTACTAGCTTAAGACAGATGAATGTGGAAAGGGTGGTGAAATGTCATTGAAATCACCTGGGAATTGCAATAGGAAGA